GTCGCCCTCGTGCTCGGCGGCATTGACAGTCGCTTCAGGAGGTTGTAGCTGCTCGAAAGTCCCTGCATGACGTGCGTGACGTACGACGCCGTCGAGTACTGCGCGCCGGCCATCCTTATGGTGGCGAGAAATCGCCGAGCTCGGCTGCAGTAGTCGGTCGCCGTCTCCTGGTCGCCCATCCGCAGGTGCGCCAGCTGCCCCTCAAGCTGGGAAATGAACAAGTCGTCGGTGACTTGGTAGGTCGACTCGATAAAGTGCCACGCCCGGTGGCCAGCGTCGAGGTACTCCCTGCACCACTTTAGGCCGATCTGCACACCCGGCGAGAAGCACCGCGAGATGACCGTGAAGGTCAGCAGTTGCACGGCGCGAAACTCCGCTCGCAAGTCGGGGTGGTGCTCCTCTGGCACCGCCACGGTCCCTCGGGCGAAGCCGATCAGCCCGGCCATCTCCAGCTGGGGCTTGATGGCTTTCTTCCAGGTGAGTATGTCTGGTCGACCAACGAGCGGCGGGGTGACCAAGATCCTGTCCGGTGTAGACTTGAAGTAGCCCTAGCTCGGTGCAATACCGCCCGCCGTCACCTGGGTCGCCGACATCGGCGACAATCCACTTCGTCGACCCCCGACGTCACCTTGCGATGAGCCTGCAGCCGCCGACGACCACACTCCTCGCGCCTGAACATCGCCGACTTCATCGGCGTGAATCACACCTCGCTGCCTAGACGTGCCTCCCGCACTGCTGCCGACTTGACCATCACCGGCGTTGACGCCCACGTTGATGCCGCCTTCGTCGTGCACCGGTCAAGGAGAGGCAGGTCGAGGGGTGCTCCATCGCCCACATGGTGCGGAGTCCAGCCTCGACGACCGCCCAAGGAAGGTCGCCATACTCGTAGGCCTCGTGCTTTCTCCTTACGTTCTCCAGCCATACCTCCAGGGTGTCCACCACCCCTGCGTCACCTACGGCTCCTACCATAGTGACTACCGCACAGCTGCCGGCCTGCACCTACAAATTAGGTAAGTGATGTATACGTCGACCTGACTGAAAAGTAATTCGTGTGGCGTTCACGCTCATCGCACCATGCGGAAATAACTCTATCAACGGGAGCTAGATTACGGGCTAGGCACGGGTGCTCGTGTATTCTATGCGTTCGTTCCTTAGTCGTTTTCTTAGTGCACACACAGCTTGCTAGTTTACAGGGAGAATTGGCAAGAGTTTCACTAGAGAAAGTTGACAACAATGGTACACACAAGATGGTAAGACTAGACTACATTAGAGCTAGGATGCAAACAGGACGACTACCAGCACAGCATGGTCGACCGCGTGCCAGCACGACTTGGTCGACCGCGCTCCAGCAGTGCAGATTCGCGGCTTGCCAATGTAGAAGGTCGACGGTGTGCCAACACCGCAAGTCGACGGCGGCCAGCGTTGCTCCCGCAATTAGCACCGCACCAGCTTCGCAGGTGTTCGCAGATGATTGGCGTGATGGGCCTCGTCACTTGCACAGCGCACACATCACATCATCCTCGTGCTGACGACCGCATCTGATCAGCCACGTTGACCTCGGGATACCACCACCAAGGTCGGTCTCGCCACTACCACCTGGGCGACCGTTGCACTCCTCCGCAGAACCTCATCACCCAGGTAACCTGGTCGACCGGACAACCACGTCGACTAGCTGCTCCTGTATGTGCCCGTCGACCTCCCAAGTCGACGGCCACCTCAAGTCGACCTCCCCAGGTCGACCACACCCTTGGTCGACCAGCTTCAGGTCGACGTCACTCCTGGTTGACTAGCTCCACGTCGACCAGCACAGTTGTCAGCCGACCACCCAAGTCGGCTACCCGAAGTCGGCGTCACCAAGTTGAGACCCTGCTACTCGACACCTAGCTGCTCGGCGTCCTGAGTCTCCCCTGTCGTGGTCGACGTCGGCCCCTCCTCCGTCGACCACCAAGTCAGGTCGACCACCAAGTCAACAACACTCGTCGACCTACCACCAGGCCGACCAGTGGTCCTGTCAGCCGACCACCTGAGCCGGCTGCCCCAAGTCGGCGTCACCAAGTCGACGCCCTCCGTCGGTCGACTTCCCAGGTTGACCTCCCCGAAGTTGGCGCCACCCTAAAGTCGGCGCCCGTGCAGTGGCCCCCGTGCAGGTCGACCAACCCCGTCGACCAGTTAGCCCACTGCTGCCGGTCGGCTGCTCCCCTTACACCCGACCACGAAGTCGGCTCCGCCCAAGCGAGGACGGGGCCAAACACAACTCCCGTTGACACAAGGCACACAAGTGTGAGAAGGGGCCAAGGCACAGAGGTGTGAGGAGGGGCCAAGGCACACAGGTGTGAGGAGGGGCCAAGGCACACAATTTTGAGGAGGGGCCAAGGCACACAGGTGTGAGTAGGGGCCAAGGCACACAGGTGTGAGGAGGGGCCAAGGCAGACAGTTTTGAGGAGGGGCCAAGGCACACAGGTGTGAGGAGGGGCCAAGGCACACAGGTGTGAGGAGGGGCCAAGGCACACAGGTGTGAGGAGGGGCCAAGGCACACAGGTGTGAGGAGGGGCCAGGGCACACAGGTGTGAGGAGGGGCCAAGGCATGCATGCGTGGGGAGAGGCTAAGGTACGCATATGAACAGTGTAATCTTACAACACTGTACACTGGAGGCGTTTTGTCCAGTGCAGGGACTAGCTTCAGTCTGGAAAAAAAATGCCCATCTTGTGGAGAAAGTTCAGGCGACCAAATATCTACGTTGGTCCTCACAGGAGCATAATGTGAAAGGAGAACATAATTGTCTCCATTTTATTCTCACAACCTCGTCCTCACACCTGGCCCTTTTGCGCATCTTGTGGTCTTGTCTTCCCTTTTTCTTCTTCTACTGCATCTTCAGAGGGGGCCTTGTGTGAGAAGGGGGGGTGCGAGAAAGGGAGGGAGCAGATGGTGGGGAAGGAGGCCTACAGGTAACCGAGGGCAGGGAGGGCGGAGATGGTGGAGGGGATAGAGCCCGTGAAGCCATTCAGATCGGCCCGCCTGGAGGTGCAAGGGCAGGGGAGTTAGAAGGGGAGGGCGCACTGATGGCTGGTGGGAAAGGAAGAAGGCAGAAAGAGCCGCCCACTTACCAATGTGAAGAATGGAGCAGTGGGAGAAAGCACTGATGGCTGGTGAGCAATGTATGAAATGCATGGTCGTGAACGGTCGCCCGGGCAGGGAACGGAACCGAACCGTTCCTCTTTATGATCGAACCCGTTTGTGGACAAACGGGTTTTTCATAGAGCCAGTTCGTTGCTCGTTGAAATAGCTAACAAATAGAACTGGTTCGGCCGAACTTGCCCGGTTTGGTACCAAACTGAAGCAATTTTTTTTTTAGAGTGAAATTTCACACAAATGAAACCTAAAGTGAACCATGGGAAACACACAAATGACAGGTGGAGGGGGCATATTGTGGGAGTATGAGAGGTTTGAACCTCGAAATGGGCGCCAACACTCTTCTCACACACCTGTAAGCTCACAGTCATTGTTTTTGTATGCACGCGTCTCCCCCTTGCTTTATTTTGCTGCTGCAAATTGTTTTGTTCGCATCCATCTCGCTCCTCTATGTCCCTCCTCTGTCTCGTTCTCGCCCCCTCCTTCCTTTCACGCAGGGACATTCAGTTCCTCCCAGCCACCAGCCTCCCCTCGTGGATTGCCACGCTCTCTTCTCTCAAATACCTGTGTGTACCGCCACACGTGCCGCCACACGTGCCTTCCCCTCACCGTCCTGCGCCTCTGCACTGCACCCCAGCGTCCTTCTCTTCCACACCTCACTAGCCTCGCCTACAGCTGCTCGCCCCTCTCACGGGCACCAGAGGCACGGACCCAGCATTCTCTCTGCGCCTTCCGCATGTGCACCACCTCGTGTGCATCGTGATCCGTGATTGAGTCAGATAAGGCAATGTGTTGTCACTGCTTACGGTGATGCCACGTGCACTGCTCCCTCCCGCATGCCTCTCCAATGACTGAAGTGACCCTTGCCTCCCCCAACCCTCCTGCCCTTTACCGCCCTGTAGGGATGTCACCGGCAACTTTAGCGTCCACCATTTTGCACCATTCCCCACCGACTGGATGGCGCTCACAGGACTGGAGACTGTGTGAGCCATCACTGGGTCACGAGCACGCCATCTTGGTGTAGCAACTTTGAGCTGTAGAGCCGAGCATTCACAGTGCATTCTCCCACTGTTCCATTCTTTCATTCTTGCCATTGCCTTGTGGCCCACCCAGCCCCACTCCCTTGCTTACCAGCCAACAGTGGGCTCATTGCTTCTCTCGCCCCTCCTCTCCCACCTCCAGGAGGGCCGGTCTGAATGGCTTCACTGGCTCTATCCCCTCCACCATCTCCGCCCTCACCGCCCTCACTGACCTGTACGGCTCCCTTCTTGCTCTGTCCTTTTGCTTGCCTCCCACTTGCTCATCACTGAATCTTCGCCTCCTTCCCCTCGCCCTCGTTGGCATCAACTCTACGTGGGTATCCATTCATGCACCAATCCACAATTATCATCCAATGCTGGGCAAGCGATGGACGGTGGGTAAGCGATGGGTTGTGGGTAAGCGATGGGTGGTGGGTAAGCAATGGGTGGTGGGTAAGCGATGGGTGGTGGGTAAGCGATGGGTGGTGGGTAAGCGATGGGTGGTGGGTAAGTGACGGATGGTGGGTAAGCGATCAAGCAGCAATCCACAATGACTGACTGAATTGACACTGCTATTCATTCCATTCATGTTTCGTCCCATCTTACACCTGTGTGTCGTCCCCCCTGTCCCCTGTGCGGGCACTAGAGAGCTCTACTACAACAACATCTCGGGGACCATCCCTGCTGCCATTGCCCACCTGCCCCTCACCTACCTGTGAGCCCACTCGTCTCCTTCCTCTGACGCACCCACTTGCACGCACTTGTTTGGAACTCTCACTCCACCTTCTTTCTCACCTTCTGTCAATCTGTCCTCCCCCTTTCTCGTCTTAACCTTCACCCCTTCATTTCCTTCATCCATCACTGGCCGCTCCCCCTGCATCGATCCCTCCCCCACCCCCTCCCCCTCCCTTCCATCCCCCCATGTCCCACACCACATGGCACCACATGGCTATCATGGCATGGCACAGGAGCCTCTTCTCCAACATGCTCTCGGGCACCATCCCTGCTTTCCACCCCATGCGCCTCTCCTCCCTGTCAGTGCTTTTTGAGACCATGTCAGTGCTTGTGAGAGTGTGTCAGCGCTGGGCCTCGTACATGATCCATCGCCATGCTCTCATTGGTACCCCTTCCGTGCTGCTGTGCGTCTGCTAATCTCACATCATAACCCACCCGTTCAACAAGATTTGAAGGCGGGATAGGTTAAGGCAATTCAGCTCTACTGGAAAAGTTGTGTACCCTTCTCATTGCCCGTGCTCACTGCCTTTCTCGCCCTCCTGCCCAACCACCCACCCACCTACCTGCCTGCCCATCTGCCCGCCCATGTGCCCATGTCTGCCCGTGTGCCCATGTCTGCCCATGTGCCCATGTCCGCCCATGTGCCCATGCCTGCCCATGTGCCCATGTCCGCCCATGTGCCCATGCCCGCCCATGTGCCCATGTCTGCCCATGTGCCCATGCCCGCCCATGTGCCCATGTCTGCCCATGTGCCCATGCCCGCCCATGTGCCCTTGTCTGCCCATGTGCCCATGTCCGCCCATGTGCCCATGTCTGCCCATGTGCCCATGTCTGCCCATGTGCCCATGTCTGCCCATGTGCCCATGTCCGCCCATGTGCCCATGCCCGCCCATGTGCCCATGTCTGCCCATGTGCCCATGCCCGCCCATGTGCCCATGCCGGCCCATGTGCCCATGTATGCCCATGTGCCCATGTCTGCCCATGTGCCCATGTCTGCCCATGTGCCCATGTCTGCCCATGTGCCCATGTCCGCCCATGTGCCCATGCCCGCCCATGTGCCCATGCCCGCCCATGTGCCCATGCCCGCCCATGTGCCCATGTCCGCCCATGTGCCCATGTCCGCCCATGTGCCCATGCCCGCCCATGTGCCCATGTCTGCCCATGTGCCCATGCCCGCCCATGTGCCCATGCCGGCCCATGTGCCCATGTCTGCCCATGTGCCCATGTCTGCCCATGTGCCCATGCCCGCCCATGTGCCCATGTCCGCCCATGTGCCCATGCCCGCCCATGTGCCCATGCCCGCCCATGTGCCCATGCCCGCCCATGTGCCCATGTCCGCCCATGTGCCCATGCCCGCCCATGTGCCCATGTGCGCCCATGTGTGCCTCCCTGCAGGGACCTCTCGTACAATCACCTCTCGGGCTCTCTGCCCACTGGCCTTTGCTCCATTTCAGATCTACTGTGAGCCACAGAAACTCACGGGCTGCAGCAGACTAGAGGGAGGCACCATGTGGGATGTTGTGGTGAGATGCCAAGTGGAGATGACCGAGGGGCGGGGAAAATGCAGCATGGATGGGCAACGCGAGCGAGCTCGTTTAACCGGTGCCGTGCCTCACCAGCTCGTCAGGCTAAGTGGCTTGTCGGGCTCACCACGCTGTCAGGCTCACCACCCTGTACACGTGTCAAGCCCCATCATGACTCGTTGCCTGCGCACATGTCCAGCGCACCTTGGGTTGGGGCACGCGGATCGTTGGTCGCTAGCATACCAGTTTTGATGAGTTTCAGTTTCACATTGGGATTTTCCACAACTGACTTGCGATCTAGGATTAGGTTTCCCTTGACAGTCATGCACATCTCAAGAACGACCCCATGACAGGAGCTCATATCACTGCTATGCTACCACCTACTTGTCCCCCCCCCCTTCCCCCCCCTTTCGCCCAAACACTCCCTTCTTTTTTGTCTCAGGAACCTGGGTCACAACGATCTTGAGGGGCCCTTGCCTGCGTGCTTCGACTATGGCAGACAGCAAACGTGAGGTGTACCCTCCAGTGCAGCTCGCTCCACGCACACGCTCATCCTCGTGCCTCCAGCTTACCCCACACAATGCACGCCTCTCACCTTGGTTTGCCGGGGAGAGGTTTGCATGGCTCTCATTGCACGCATGCCTTCATGTTGACCCCCATCCTGCCACACTCCTTGTTTCCCCCACTCTCTCTCTCTTTCTCTCCATCCATCCGTCACAGAACTAACCACTGCGGCCATACAGGCTTGTCTCCTCTCCTCCTCTCCAGGTCTTTGCTGCCTGCCTCATTTGCCTCTCCTCTCCTACCCGTGCCCCACCCCCCGTGGTAGTGATCTGAGTTTCAAGAAGCTCTCAGGTTCCATCCCACTGACCTTGAGTGTGATGCCGTGTGGGACAAGACGTAAGCCCCGAACTGCACGCTCTCTTAGATGGTGTGATAGGATATGGAAACTGCGACATTGCAGTCACGGCGGATAGTAGATGCATGTGACGTGAATCTGTTGCATAGTGATCGGACTGCATGCATGTCCCCAGGTGGTGAGAAGCATAGAAGTATAGAGGCATAGAGCCAGCTGTGTGACATGTCGCATCGCAACGCCATGCCAGCCAGCAACATGTGCCATACTCCACTGCACCACACGCCATCTCCTACACTGCTCCCTTGATCTCTTCTCCCTCAATGTCTCCTCCCCTTCTCCCTTGCTCCCTTTCTCCATTCTACTTTGCTCCCTTCTCCCTTGCTCATCTCTCTTGCTCCAGTCTCCCTTGGTCCTTTCTCTCTTTCGCTTTCTCCCTTGCCATTTTCTCCATTTCTCCCTTCTCCCTGCTCCTGTCTCCATTTTTCCCTTTTCCCCCCGACCACGCTCCCAGGAACCTCACTAGCTCGGGGCTGACATGTCCTCCAGACGGCAGCGAGTGTGGGCAGCAGCAGGGCAACACCTCCCCCTTTTGCACCATCTGCCTTTCCTTCTGCTCTTCCTGCACGCCCCATGCACGTAAGCACTGTGCTGCCTTGAGAGTGCTGCCACACCACCTTCAACAGAGTGTGATGTGGTCAGAATGTATGGCTATATACACAGGTGGTTTGTGCATGGATAGATGGCGTGTGTGGTGTGAGGGGTCGGGGTTGCGTTGCAGTGCATGCACATGCCGACATCGTATGGAACATTCAGCTGGCTTTCTTGTGTTTGTAACATGGTACATACATGCATTAATTTAGCATGCCACATGCATCGATCAACATGCAACATGCGACGTGCACTGTGCATCCATTCCTGTCCACACTGCAGTGTCAGCGCCCACCACCCCGCAAGCTGCTTCCCAGGCGACAGCTCAGCCCTCCCACGCAGCTTCCCCACCCTCTCCTCCCACGACCGCAGCTGCTCGCTCCATGCCAAATGCTGCCACCATCAGTCTTGCTCTTGTTGTTGCTGTCGCCGCTCTTCTCATAGTGCTCACTCTAGAAAGAAAACCAACTCACAAGGGCTTCAGATCAGTCCCTCTCGACATTGAGATGTGAGTCCAGGAGTTGGGCGAGCTATGCAGGTTCGGTCGTGTGCTACCACAACCTGCACTACGCTGCGCCATGCTCGGCGTTTGCCTGTCTATTGCCTCCCTGTCCTTCTCCAGAAAGTGGTATTGTGTTGTTCATGAGATGATTTTTCCCATACACGCCAATCCATTTTATTCAGTTGAGTTCGTGTGATGTTGCAACACCCAGAAGCTCGCCACAGGGTGCAAACGAGCTACGGTAAATCAATAGATTTAGTATGATTTTTAAAATACCGGTATATTCCTATCTACACAACACAAACAAGGCCTATCCATACCATGCCACTGCTTACAGGGCTGGAGGAAAAAAACTAGAGACGAACCAGCAATAAATACAAAGAAATGCCTCTAAGTAGAGGGCTAAAACCTACAAGCAAGAGGGATGACAGGTTTGTGGTGGATAGTCGTAGCAATATGAGCAAGTAGGCTATAGCAGAGCCACGAGGGAGAGCGCAGCAGTCAAGAGGAGGGGGACTGCACACAGCACACACACAAATCGAAGAAATCGGGGAATGTTAAACGTGTGGGTTGAAGAGCGGTTGCACCCATAACCATCACGGATGCACACAGCACAGGCACTCACACGAAGAGAGGAGAAAGGAGCGTCGTCGGCAAGAAATGAGGGGGAGAAAAGGGAGAAGAGAGTGGAGGAGGCAGCAGCGCTCACCTGCAGCAGCCTTGCTCTGTGATTTACCCGCAGAAGGTGACCCAGCAGGTGGTGCTGGCATGCCACTCGCTGCACTCTTAGATGCATCCTGCCCACCGCTACTGCTGCTGCTGCTGCTGCTGCTAGACCCAGCAGCAGCAGGACTACCAGCACCCGTGGCAGCACTGTCATCAGACTTCCCGCCAGTGGCAGTGCCATTAGTGCCGGCGCCGTTCGCACTGTCGTTAGCAACGCCACCAGGTGCCACAACAGGCATGGCGATGGGCACGTCACCCTCTGCTCCTCCTCCTCCTGCTCCGCTCCCCCCGTCCTTGAACACGGGCATGTCCCTGTAGTGGGGGAAGAGCACGCCATCGACGCCATGCACCACCATGCCAGCGCTGTCCATCAGATCAGCTCGCACCACCCGAGCCACGTTCATGTCGCTGCCAGCCTGCTCCCACATCATATTAGAGCCTGCCGCCCAGGCGGAGGAGGAGGCGTTGAGCCACGCGAGGTATTCAGTGGCAGTCACGTTCAGCCCTGGCACGGCCTGGTTCATCCACTCAGTCGCATTCCCCCACCACTGCTGCTGCTCCTCCGCGCTCCAGTTGCCCCAGTTCCAGCCGCCCCCCATGCCCCCCCCGCCCATGACCCCCGGAATCGGGTCTACCAGGACGTTGGGGGGCATATCGGCGGGGGGCATGACAGCGGGGGCGGGCATGGCGGTGGCGGGAGGCATCTCGGCGGGGCCGCCCATCATGGGGGCGGGTTGAGGCTGCGGCTGCGGCTGCGGCTGCGGCTCCATCATCATCTGCGCGCCAGCCATGCCGCGCGGCGCCACCGAGCCGACGCCGCTGGAGGGGGGTGATGAGACGACGGGGGGCTGCGGGAGGGGAGGCACGGGGAGGCCCGGCCCGTCAATGGGGATGGCGACGCCATTGGTGCCGTTGGTGCTCAGGACGGTGCCATTGGCGCTGATTACAGTACCGTTGGCGAAGTATGTGTTACCCTCCGAGTCCACGGCTATTGGGCTCGTCGCGGGGTCAAAGATGACGGTGCCGTTAGCGGCGACGGTGGTGCCGTTGGGGTAGTAGATGGTGCCGTCGTACCCCACGCTTATCCCCTCGCTGATCAGCGCGCGCTGCGCGGGCGAGTACGCGTTGAGCAGCGCGGCGGTCTCGCTCGTGTTGAAGTTGATCCACAGCCCCTGCCCGTTCACCGTCGTCAGGTTGCCCGCATCCGCCGTGAACTGCGCCGCGATGGCCGCCGCGTTCAGCGCCGCCGTCGCCACGTGGTATGCGAGCAGCTCCGACAGAGCCTTCAGCGCCTCGGGCCGCTCCTTCGCCAGCGCCGCCAGCGACGCGGGCGTCCCGTCGCCGGAAAACACGGCGCTCAATGCGGCGAGAAGCGGGTCGAAAGTCAACGGGCTCATATTTGGCATGGACATGTTGGGAAAGGTCATGTTGAGATCGGGCATGGGAATGGTCATGTTATCCACAGGTATTGTCGAATTCAATCCGTCTGACCCGCCGGGAATCCCAGGAATCGCCACGTCGGGAACGCCGGGCAGCGTCAAGTCAACCTGGGGAAGGCCGGGAATCATCGCCGCGCTCGCACCGCCGCTAGCGCCTCCCGCAGCGGGGGCAACACCGGGCGCTGGGGTCGGCTGTGCGATGCCACCGGGATTGGCGGCGTCCGAACTGCCCGCGCCGCCCGAGCTGTTCCCCGGACTGCCCGGGCTTCCGGGGGTCTCGCCGCCGACGGCGGCGCCGGGGAAGGGAATGTAGGCGCTGAGATACGGCAGGGCGAGGGCGTGGAATGCGGCGCGCCACGCGGCGTCGGTGGGCGAGAAGAGAGTGAGCGAGCGAGGGCAGCTTGGCGAGCAGCCCGGTGGCGTTGAGGACGAGCAGCGACACGTTGAACGACTGCGACGGCGACTCCGCGCTCGCCAGTGTCGCCGCTATCGACGTCGCGGCGGGACCCTGCGCGCCGCGCACGGCGCACGGCGCGGAGAGCGCGATGGAAATGACGAGGCACAGTAGCGCTGCGCGTGGTACATTCTTGGTTGCCTGGAGCATTCTGGTAGAGCGAGGGAGTAGCATCTTGGGCGAGCGAAGGGCAAGCAGTGGATAGAAGGAACTTGGCAGTCAATGCGAGGTTGCACGTTGCTTGCCACACTTTTCGGCTGCTTTGAAGAGTGCCGCACCAAGCTCTGATCAGAGGCACAAATACATGCTAGTGTGCTTGCGGTATGGTTTGACGAAACGACCGCTGGGTTTTGTAGGCATGGGACTGAGCGGGCAGGGATGATGCTGTGGGGGAATGCGGGGGTGGCACGAAAAACTGCTGATCCAGTCGCACTTGTCACGGTCCATGGACGAAAGAGATTCTTTGGCGGAGCATCGCGCGGTTCACCCGCACCGCCAGTGCGCCACACCACCACAGGCCGTACGGAGAGGCGGGAGAGAGGGGCCGTGCGGGAAAAGGTCGAGCCAGAAGGCGCGAAGAAGTTGCCCGTCTACCAAGCCTGAGGCTACTTGGCAATCCGTGCTTCGATATGGCACTACCGTGTTTGTGCTTTTAGAATGTAACAGTGTTCAAGTAACTATGTAGGAACTTATATTCTCCTTGTGTCACATTTGACTTCACCACGTACAACACTATGTAGTGTTCGCTCATGTTAGGCCCCTTGGCTCATGTTAGGCTCATGTTAGGAATATCGGGGTTGAGTATATCGAGGAAAAAACGCGGCGGAAGACTTTGGCGAATTAAGTCTTAGCGAAATAAGCGAAGAAGTCACTGGGTTAAGATTGAATGATATTGGCTAATACAAGCAAGGTTGATATAGCATGCAAGAGCGATTGTCGGAAAGTAGATTGTGGGACTAGGAAACGGAATGCAAAGAAAGTAGATTGCCACGTGGCATGCTGGAAATTCTGGAAATTTGAAATGATAATATTAGGATGGGGTTGGGAGCACTGTTTATGGTGATTAGCCCTTGAACAGTAAAGTACCTCGTAACACTACCCCCCTCACAAGGAGGCGACGTTCGCGGCGCCTGCAGACTGAAGGTACGCTTGGAGGCAAGCGTTGTCGGGAGACAGGGAAGACGAAGGAACCCAGCTGTCGTCGGCTGCATCGTAACCACGCCAACGAACCAAGAAATCGATGAAGGAGACACCCCCCTGGAGACAGCGACGGTGACGAAGGATGTGCTGGATCTGGTAGTCGGGCTCGTCGGTGTCTACAGCTACCGGCAGTGGATTGCGATCACGGCCCGAGAATGCGGTGTTGGGATCGGTGCAAGGCTGAAGAAGAGACACTTGGAATGACGGGTGCATGCGGAAATGAGCGGGAAGGCGGAGACGGTATGCGACTGGACCTAGTGCGCGCTCAATGACGAATGGACCAATGAAACGAGGGCGAAGCTTGCTGTCCTATGGCAGTCGGAGGTTGCGGTTATCCAAAAGAACACGGTCGCCGACTGCAAACGATACCTCACGACGATTGCGGTTGGTGGTGCGTGCCATGCGTGCATTTGCGAGCTCACGGTGCTTCCTCACGTGATCATGAATGAAGGTGAGATGCTGGTGGAAGTTGTCCGTACGAGGGACAGTGGGTCTGAGATCGACACGAGTGGGGACATTGGGGTGTTGACCGCTCAGTGCGAAGAACGGTGACATGACTGTGGACGAGTCGTGCGCGTTGTTGTAGGCGAACTCGGCCATGCTCAGCTTCTTGTCCCATGTGGCTGCGTCGTGCATCATGATGCTGCGAAGAATTTGCTCCAAGGTCTGGTTCATACGCTCATTCTGTCCGTCTGTCTCTGTATGCAGACGACATGGCTAAGCAAGTCCCAAACAGTGCGAAAAGCTGCTTCCATAACTTTGAAGCGAAACGAGGGCCGCGGTCTGGGATGATGGAATCTGGAACCCCGTGCAGTCGGACTACGTTTTCTACGAACAGCGTCGCGGCTTCCTCTGCTATGACCTTGCCGTGCGTGGGGATGAAGTGCACTGCTCGAGAGAACTTATCCACTACCACGAAGATGGCGTCATGACCCCTAATTGTGCGCGGCAATGCCTTTATGAAATCCATTGTAACTACCTACCAAGGTTGATCGGGCGGTAGAATTGGCTGCAAAGGTCGTGTTTTGCGCTGGCGAGAGGACTTCGTACGGTGACACGTGTCGCACGACCGAATGTAATCCTCTATGTCTCCTGCAAGCCCTGGCCAAAAGTACGTGCGACTGAGCCATCTTATCTGCTCCAAAGTGACCCGCGCTAACTACATCGTGCGCCTCGGAAAGAAGAAGATGTCGAAGAGGGCGATAGGCGGGAACCCAAATCCGTGTGGTACCTTTCCGGATGTAGACACTACCCTGTACCTCTGATCCTGCGGGCGGCTGCGGTGTGAAGTCGGGATCTACTGTGTATCCGTGCTCGAAGAGTGCTGTGAGAAGTGGATGGCCGGTAGTGACTGTAAGAATAGCGAGCTGGCAACTAGGCCGAGTATGCGAATCTGCTAGGTTGCGCATGCCTCCATAAACTCCATCCTTCTAGCCTGGCGACGACCGAGCTGCGGCTGCGACTTGAGAAAACGAAGCGAGCAATGGTCCGTAGGTATAACGCTATTTGCCCCCTCTAGGTAGCACCTCCACACCTTGAACGCATGGATGATCGCGAGCGCCTCCTTGTCGTGAATGGGATAGTTCAGCTCGGCTCACCTCAGCTTACGCGACTCATACGCGATCGGCTGCAACCCGCGTCCCTGGTCCTGAAGAAGCACTGCTCCTATGGCCCAATCTGATGCGTCGGTCACTACAACGTACGGCTGAGTGGGATCTGGGTACGATAGTGTCGGTGAAGACGTGGGCGGCTGCTTCATCTGCTCGAACGCCTGCTGCTGCGCTGGATCCCAATTGAAATCTATGCCCTTCCGAAGTAGGTCGGTGAGTGGACTAGCTATCGATGCAAAACCCTGAACGAAATGACCGTAGTAATTCGCAAATATGAGAAAGCTCTGCAACTCCTTGACTGGGGTCGGAGCTATCCAGTCATGTACTGCTGCGATCTTCTTCGGGTCGGTCCTAATGCCACTAGCAGATACGACGTGACCTAGAAACTCGACTTCAGGGAGGAAGAACTCGCACTTCGACTGCTTAGCGTACAACTGCTCCCGCCGCATCACCTCGAAGACCTTCTGCAAATGCTGCACGTGCTCCTCTTTCGTTTTGGAGAAGATGAGGATGTCGTTTGGGTAAACTATGACAAAGGAACCTAGAAACTCGAAGAGGACGGTGTTCATGAGCGTCTGAAACGTCGCTGGGGCGTTGGTCAAACCGAACGGTAGAACCCTAAACTCGTACAACCCTTGCTTCATACAAAACACCGTCTTGTGCAGGTCCTTTGCAACTATGCGAATTTGGTGGTAACCCGAACGAAGGTCGATCTTTGAGAAGACTCTAGCGCTGTGAGAGTACGACGGCTTATGCTGGCTTTGCTAGCTTGCCTAGACTTTATTATGCTATTACTAGCTTGGGTTTTATTTATCATGCATAGATATGCTTGATTTCCTAGGTTAGGTGCATTCCTATATTTTATTATAGTTATAGTGAGAAGAAACAAGGAATGATTGAACTATGAATGAATTTGGTACAAGTACTAACCCTAATTGGGTTGTACCCCTTATAGGCTACCCCACTATAGCCTACACAATATGCATGAGCTATAATGTTCTGACACACCCCCATAGGCAAAGTGGGGGAGAACAAGGGGTCACAAGACCAGTCAAGTAAAGCAAAGCAAAGCAAGCTCAGGGTGGATCACAAAGTCACCACACATTCCGAGCACAAGTTCAAGGCCACAAGGCCAGTTCACATGCAGGAGTACATATATGTAAAAAGGCTAGACAAGCAAGAGCAGGTATATATATATGTAACAGTACAAGCACGGTCAAGAGGTGAGCAAGTGAGGCAAGGTAGGCACAAGGCCCAGCTGAGTACAGAAGCGCTGATGGTCACAAGGCGCAAGCGCCTTGGTGAAGATATCAGCAGTGTTGGCCTCAGAGGCCACGTACGCAAGACGCAGCTGACCACGCTGCTGCAGCTCACGAGCAAGAAAGTAGCGGAGAGCAATGTGCTTCGTTCTGTGCTCCAGTCGCTGCTCCCGACACAAGGCCAGCATGGCCTTGTTGTCTACGTACAGCACTGGAGGAGAACGAGGCGGCTCTCCGAGGTCAGTCAGCAGGTAGGTGAGCCAGCGAAGCTCCTGTGCAGCCATGGCTCCTGTGTAGATCTCAGCCTCACAACTGGAGCCGAGAACAGAAGACGAGCGAGTAGCCCGCCACGAAACAGAGCCGGAACCAAGGCTGAAGGTGTAACCCTGTGACGACCGCTGCGTAGCCTGGTCGTCAGCCCAAGAAGCGTCTGCGTGCCCAGTAAGGACCACTGGACTCTGCCCTCCAAGCACAAGCCCCATGCCCGATGTACTGCACAAGTAGCGCAACACCCTCTTCGCTGCAGCCATGTGCTCCGGTCTGTGTCTCCCAGGAGCAACATAGCGTGCGAAAATGCTAAGAGGGTATGCAAGGTCAGGTCGTGTGCAGGTCATCAGGTACATGAGGCAGCCAACAAGCTCTGGGTACGGGCCACTCGACTCTACGGACTCATCCGAAGGCAGAGCTGAGAGCGAGTGGCGAGTAGGCAGAGGAGTGGCCTGAGGCGAGGAGTACGTGAAGCCGAAGCGCTGAAGGACCTGCTGCACCATGTGTGACTGAGTCAGGGTAATGGTGCGGCGTGCTCTGTCCCGAGTGATCTGCAAGCCAAGGTAGCTGCGCAGTTCACCCAGGTCAGTGCACGTGTGTCTCTTCTGCAGCTCGGACTTCACGTGGGCGAGTCCAGCAGTGTCAGCTGTGGCAAAGACCAAGTCGTCGACGTACACGAGGATGTAGAACGGCGGCAAAGAAGTGTCGGTGCGCAGAAACAGCGACGGGTCGGCAGTAGAGGGAGCAAACCCAAGAGCCGCAAGTGTAGTCCTCAGTGTGTCGTGCCACTCACGCGGTGCCTGGCGGAGACCGT